TTGATGAACAAATTCAATGCCACTTTCATCAAAATCCCCATTGAGGGGTGGGGGTGTATAGCTTAGTGGCAGGGTGCATGCTTGGCATGCACGAGGTTCTGAGTTCAAGCCCCACTGGCTCTGTTAAGGGGAAAAAGTAAAAAATAAAATAAAATAAATTTTAAAAAATCCCCATATAGAGAGAAAGAAACAGGAGCCCAGGGGATGCGGTGCCCCAAACTGCATTGGTGGCAAACTTGACTGTGGAATCCACACCTGTCCTGTGCTTGCCTCTGAGACGAGGAGCCTGCAGCGCCTGCAGCCTGACAGACGGCATTTGGCTTCTAAAGGTCTCCAGTCCCCAAGCGAGTTTTGACCTTTGCGCCAGCATCCAGCCCTGCGGCAGCCGAGTCAGGGTACAGGGGCTGCCATTACCAACAATCACGACCCGATTAAGAATAAAACCGGGACTTACTTGCTGGGAGTTCCAGCTCCTCTGGGCCTCGGCTCCTTTCCGGGACGGGGGAGAGCAGGGCCAAGCAGGGGGAGGCGTTGCTTTAATCAAGTCACTCTCAGGGCTTCACATCTGCGCGTTTCCCTGAGCTCGCATGTTCAGCCTCACATGCTGGTTAAACATTAATTTCTTTGGTGACAAAGGTCGGGAAATCTTGAGAAACCTAGAGGGAGACACTCATCTCTGGGGTGCCTGGGAAATCTCGTTCTGGACAGCTTGTATGTTTCAGTCCAAACCCTGGCAGCATGAATTTTTCTTACTACCATCTGTACCCCCCAACAGCCCCAGTTTCAGTTTTTCAGCCCTGGTGGGTCATCTGGTGAACTCCAGCCTGCACCATGGGAAGCCTGCCTTGCAGACATTCTCCTGCCCCTCCAGGGAGCCCCCAGGCAGAGCCTGCAGGTCCCAGCCCCTCCACCCCTGCCCCCCGACCCCTGGAAAGGCTAGTGAGGATGTGTGGGGCCATCCTGTGCATGGGATCCGGACAAATGTCTAGAGAACACAAAGCAGACTGAATTTTATCTGAGCGTAAAGCGAGGCTGGGGGCGATGAGGGGAACTTGCCCCGGGGGAGTCCGCAGGGAGGTGGGGAGCTGGAGGTCCTGCTAAACCTGCTCCGAGCTTGGGGCCGGCAGGTGCAGAGAGCAGAGTGGGCGGGAGGCTGTGTCCGGGCAGTTCATTAAAGGACCGGCTGCAAGGCGGGGAGGACAGGGTGGCTGTGACCAGAGGGATTTGTCACCAGCGTGATGTGGGGACCGGTTCTCTGTGTTCTGCCTCGGAGCAGGGGTAGCCCGGGGCTGGAGGGGGGGTAACTGGAAGTCACTGTCAGTGCCGGAACCCAGGACAAGGAGGGTGTCGTTGAGGATACGCTGACCTCCACAGGAGCTACCGGAGGAACGAAAGGAGAGGAGGGATGGGGGGGTCAGCTCCACGGTGACACCTACTTTGGTGGAACAGCATTTGCGAGGTCAGAAAGCACGGGGTGCATTCCAGGTCCGGAAAGAAGGCCAGCCCCCCAGGACCACACGAAGCGGGGGACATGTTACATCATCTGTGTCCCCTCCAGCTGCATTGGGGCCACTGAAAGGGTCCAAGAAAACTTTGCCCTTAATTTACCAATGCCTTAATCACGATCACGCTGGCTCTTGTGTGCGAAACGGACCAGAGAGTAATGAGAGTAAAATTATCTTCATTCTCTGGTTTGGAGGAAACCATGGAACGTGGTGAGAGTTCAGGATGGGAGACAAGATGAGGAGGAGTGGTAGGATTTCGTATATGTGTATGTGCACATCGGTGTGCGTGTGCATGCATGCACTGCGTGTCACGTGTGTGCATGTATGTGTACATATGTGTGCATCTGCATGCATGCACTGTATGTACATGCATGTACACATGCGAGTGTATGGGTGCATATGCGTGTATGTGCACACATGCATCGTGCACTGTGCTGGGTGCATTGTGTGCATGCATATGTGCGTGCACACGTGCATGTGTTGTGGGTGCACTGTATGTGTGTACATGTGTGCATGTGGGTGTTAGGAGGTTTCTGGGCAGAGGAGGGCTTGGGAGTCTGGATGACCCCCACGCCGTGGACATCCACAGCCCTCCCCACGTACTCCCTACACACACGTACACACAGCAGCCCCGCCATCAGTACCCCAACCCACACACACCTCTCACAAGGTGCAGAGAGTGGCCAGTTCTTTCTGCTCTTCCTCTCAGGGCAGCCTGCCTTTGAGGGGGTGAGCTCCCCAAAACCGAGGCCTCAGGTTCTGAAAACAAGTGACAGTTGTCTCACTGCAGTGTGAGGACAGGCCATTGGGCTTGACACGTGAACTCTGATGAGTTTCCAGAGGTGTCCGCTACACCTGCGTGAGACCTGATGACCTGTGAGGCACTTGGGGGTTTCTGATCTTGTGCCAGAGCTGTGGGGGGACGGGGCAGGGGGACTGTCCCAGCACCAGCATGGACGCACATCACACATCCCCCGGCAATCGCCTTTATAAACTAGTTTTTAGCCAAGTCGGAAGCGCATCGTTAAAACATCCCACGTCATTTCCCAATGTTCTTAGCGGCCGACCAGCCGGAGGGTTTTAAAACACAGAAACAGGCATCGCAAGCAGCAGACGATGGACAACACTGTGTTCGTGTTTATTTCTAATTACAAGAAACAGAACATCAGTCCCTTATTTGTACAAAAATACCTGAACGTTTACAATGAGGGTCACAAGCCCAGGAGCTGTATGTACAGAAAGCACGTGGAACAAAGCTTTAGTCTCTGAAATGAACACCTTCCGCGTCCCCTGAAAATGTTCACGCGTCACGGCGACATCGCAGCCTTCGGGGAGCAGGCCCGCCCCGCCCAGGTGCGCCCTCCGGTCGAACCCGCAGGTAGTAAGTGCAGAAGAAAGAAGACAAAATGTCTAGACTGAGGCACAAGTGTTTCCGAGGTTTAGAAAACAGAAGAACGTTCTGGAATGCTAACGCAGAAGGTAACAGACCTCCCCTCTTTCACACTAACACCCAAAGCATTTGGTGTTTTGTTTTATTTTATTTTATTTTATTTTATTATTTTCCCTTGTGGATTCCATCCAGCTTAACTACATGGAGGTTCCATTTAGGGAAGAAAATCGCAGGCAGAGATTAAAAAGTCGGCGGGCTCCGAAACGACCCTGAGCTGTCCCGTTTACATTCATGCGACTTAAATACAAAAATAAAAGTCGAATGTCCTTCGGCCCCCGGCCGGCCAGGCTGGACGCCCGCCTCTCGGGGCTGTGGGAAGGTCACCCTGTCCGGCGGCTCACTGAGGTCAGGAAGGTACAGAGATCACATCCGACCAGCACACACAGAACCGTGCACCCGTCAAGCCTTTGTTCTCCTTTTTAAATAAAACGGGTTATTTATAAATATGAAATACTGGAGATATTCGCCGTTTAATGTTGGGGTGCGGAGTGACTGTCATCTCATGGGTGGAGACTTGTCCATGTGAACAGAAATAAAAAATGCTAGAGGTGTTTGTTTGTTTCTTGTTTTTTTTTTTTTTAAGTTTTTACATCCAAAGGGTAAAGAGAAAAATGTCTAACAGAGGAATGAGAGCGTCAGTCCCTGGAGTGACATTTGAGGGAAGCAGACTGCTGGGTCTGCCCTGAGAATCACCCGACGGTCAACGGCGGGAAGGATGGACAGGCTTCAAAAACGAAAAACATGTCTTACTAAAAAAACCAAAAGTCTTCATTTCTATAAGCAGACGTCACATGGAAAACAACTGGAGTGTGTCCTGTCAACTGAAACACAGCGTCCCTGTATCCCGGACCGCCTACAGCTGGGATGCGCCACCGTGTCCCGGACCACCTGTGCCCCTCGGGCAGCGCGCTGGCGGGTGGGGTCCAGGAGGTCCACGGGCTGGCGCAATCCGGGGCGGCCAGTCTCGTGTGGTGACTGTGATCTGGGGCCAGGAGAGACTCCTTTCCCAAGTAGTCTGTGTGCCCTCGCATGCGAAAACTCGGCTCAGAGGACAGGGCGGGGGGACGGGGACAAGCCAAGCCGCCATCTGACCCAGCTCCTGGAGTGGGAGACGGTGTCATGTTGATAAAACCTGTCAATGGCCACCACCGCCGTGAGGGACTTCTGACCGCGGGCCAGTGGAGGGGCCACCCGCCTCCTCCAGTCTCTGACGCGTGGAGGTCTCAGTAAGACAGAGGCCGCCAAGCAAAGACCTTTTCAATACAGGGCTGCATCGATCTGCCCTTTCCAGTGTTTCCATCTCTGTCACCATGGAAACCCCCTGGAGACCAGAGCGGGTACCACTTCCTTTTAGATGCTTTAATCCCCCGAGGGAGGGAGGACCGCCGTGAAAGGCCGGCACCACCAAAGAGCAGGTGGGCCAGACGGCCAGCATCCACTGTGGGTGGGCACCAGCTGTGTCTCAAGGAGGCTGTGGCTACAGGTGTGGCCCTGCCATGTCGTGGGACAGCGAGTTTTCCAAAGAAAACCAGTGTCCTGCACCACAGAGGACATGCCACATGGACAGCATGAGTTGGGGGGGCAGCCACACAGAACAGGGGTCGACAGAGCGTGCCGCCTGGCCAGGCACACAGAGCTTGCCAAATGCCTACCACAGGGGACACCTTTTATCTCAAAAAAGCTTTCAAGTATCCAGGGAAGGGCCAGGAGGCTCTGTTATCTGGGAGCTGAATCCCCTATGGTCACCTGCAGACGGCGGGCACCACCCCCTGCAAACACAGTCGGCCTCCCGGGTCTGCCTGTCCGGAACGGCCAGGCTTTGCACTTCGCACGCACTGACACGCTGCCTCCCTCCTGCCGTGAGCCGAATACAATACTGAGAACAAAGGAGTGCAAAAAAGTGATCAATACAAAAAAAGTAAACATATCAGTTTTAATCGTCAAGATTATTCCAGGGCAAGAGTTTCAGGTCCCTGCTGTACGG